CTCTTGCGTGAGGGCACCCAGGACCTGTAAGAGGGGACCACTTGCACAAAAGGTCATGATAAGGATTTTCATGACAGCATTTTGTATACTACTATGAAACAACCTATGTGTCCATCAGTAGGGGAGTGGATAATAAAATGGGGTCTATGCATATGCTGGAGTACTATGTGATAGATTTAGGAAAGTGGTTTAGGCAAAGGCTCTGGGATTAGAAGCCTCCGTAACTTCCTAGATGAAGGACTTTGGCCCAGTTGCTTCACTTCCCCATGCCTCAGTTTCTTCTTCTGTAGTCAGGGGACAATAATAACACTGGCACCACAGAGTGATGGTAAGAGTTTAGAGAGATGACGCATCTCTCCAGCACTTGGCCCTTGGAAATCACTGAGCAGATCAGGTGTTGTAAGCTTTTTCTGTGGATAAGGTCAAGTGGAAGCCTCCAAAATTACTCCCCTCCACACCCTTTGCCAATCAAGGTAGCAAGTTGAATGCAGTGTTGAATCACAATGCAAGGGCAGAAATTAGTGGCCACTCTTGAAGGTGTAAAGTCATGGTGACCAGGGTCTCTGACCCCTCAGGGATGAGGAACTAGGTCACCTCACCGGGCAAGCCACCTAGATGAACAGAAGTTCTGCCTGAGGGGGAAGGGAATCCAGAAGGAATAGTTGGGGAGGGAGATGATGAACAGTTGGAGCTGCTAGATTCAGCGGCAGCAGTGGACGATTCCACTTTCCGGCTGGGAGAGAAATCAGCAAAGCTCCTGCAGTAGCTGTCCCCACATGCGGCAAACCTCTCTACAAAGCACATGGATCCAAGTGGTGTAGGGGTGGGCTGTGCTGGATGCCCTGGAGTACCTCCCAGATCCCAGCTGTGTGAGCTTGCTATTGCTACAGTAACACATTGCTGCAGACTTACAGGCTTAAAACAACACAAGTCTATGAGCTTACAGTTCTGGGCTGACATCAAAATGTCAGCAGGGCTGCATTCTTTCTGGAGGTTCTAAGGGTGAATCCGTTCCTTTGTCTTTTTCAGCTTCTGGAGGCCACCTGCTTTTCCCAGGACTGGTGGAAGGAGGAGAGGTGGTGTATGAGTATGCTAGGGCTCTCAGACTGAGTAGCCTAAACATCAGAAATGTATTTTCTCACAGCTCTGGATGCTGAAAGTCTGAGATTGAGGTGTCAGCAGGACTGGTTCCTTCTGAAGCTTCTCTCCTTGGCTAGTACCCTCTGTGTGCTAATCCACTCTTCTTACAAGGACACACATCATATTGGATTAGGGCCTACTCTAATAACCTTATTTTATATGAGGGGCTCCTGGCTGGCTCAGTCAATACAGCATGCACCTCTTGATCTCAGAGTCGTGATTTCAGCCCCAAGAGCCCCACGTTGGGCATAGAGTTTACTTAAAACAAAAACAAAAACAAAAACAAAAAACAAAACAGCCCTTATTTTACCTTAGTTTTGTCTTTAAAGGCCCTATTTCCAAATGCAATCACATTCTGAAGTACCGGGTATAAGAGTCAACGTAAGAATTTTGGGGGACACAATTCAGCACCCATAACAGGGGGAAGTTCCCATGCTCCGCTTTTTGGAACAGCAACAACAACAACAAAAAGACCTACAATAGGGAAAGTTCCCCAGAGATATTCTAGGGGCCCTCCAGACTAGAAGAGGCTTGAGTCCTGCTCTTCATTACAGAGCCCAGAGAGGTAGCAGGTCCTCGAAAAGGAAATGACTTGATGGTGTCTCTGGGCAGTTGAAGCCACAGACAGCCTCAAAGAGCTTCCGGTGCCTCAAGCTGGCTGAAAATCAGCCGTGTGAGCAAGGCTTAGGAGCAGCAGAGAACGCAGCAGTCTTGATAGGTCACAAGTACAAAAATGGAGGACTGATGGGTCAGAAGCAGACGGGCAGCGGGCACCTGTGCGGATACATGGCTTGAGAATCAAATGGCTCCCTCCCTCACCCTTAATGCTGGGACACTGCCCAAGCTCTCTGGAATTTTGGCAGTCTTGGGAAAGGAGCATGTGGGCAGGGAGGGTTCCCAGTGGACTGATAGTTCTTAGCATCCTGGTACAAAGGGAGCTTTGCACAAAGTAAGTCGCGTTAAGAATAAAACAGAAGTTAAATTATTTGCCCTCCTGGCAAATTGCGATGTATGGATGCCACACATGTGTCAGAATTTGGGCTCACATAGAAGCAACTCTGATAAAAAGATTTGAGGCAAACCTTTCCTCCAGAAGGAAGGAAGCCCGGCCAACACATTGATTTTAGTTCCTTAAGACTCATTTCTGACTTCTGACTTGTGACTTCTGACTCCTAGAGCTATGAGGCAATAAATAGCTATCATTTTAAGTAGCAGCAGGAAATGAATACAACTACGAGCTCTCATTCTCCCTGAAACTCATAGTCATCCCAGGCTGTCATTCATTTTCTCACCTCTGACAGAGAAGTGACTTCACCTCTCTGTGCCTAGAATTCCCCACTCATAAGATGGGCGTTACAACACAACTTACCCCACGGTCACCATGAGAATTAAATGAGTTACTGTGAATTAACGCGCTTAGCACAGTGTCTCAGATGCGGTAAGTACATCAGAAGTATGACCTATAATTAATGATCCTTATTACTTTAAGAGAAGCAACCACAAAAGCACGATGCTGAAAGGCAACTGACACTCAGCGTCTGTGTGGGAGACAACAGGGGGTAGTGGAGACGGGGGTGAGCTGGTGAGCCCATGCCTTATCCAATAGGGACAGCCACTGCCCAGCCTGGGTTGTTGTTCACAGCTTCCAAATTTCCAAGAAAATCCAGAAATTTGGATTTGTTCACGCGTAAAATTTTGTAATGTTTAAATATCGGCCACTAATTTCCATATTAAAGGCACACTTTTGGGGTGCCTCGGTCCATAGAGCAACCAACTCTTGATCTCAAGGTCATGAGTTCAAGACCCATATTGGTCACAGAGCCTACTTAAAACAAACAACAAAAACACACCTAGTGACTAGATGTGGCTTGTGGATGTAATCCCTGAAAAGAATCTGAACTTTAAATGTGCACATGATTACAGCTATGCTTACAAAAAGAAGATCCACTAAGGATTAAAGAGCTCACTGTGGGCCAAGCTCTGGAAAACTACTTAAACACTCAAGTCATTTCACCTCACAATAACCAAGGTAGGGTAGAGGCCACTATTCATATTCTTTTGCAGATGAGGACACTGAGGACTGGGGAGGCGAAGGATGGATCTTGAGATCACCCAGCTGGGAAGTGGCAGAGCGGGGGATTTGAACCCTGGTGGCCTGGCTTCCCCAAAAGACCCATTCTTGTTTTCTCTGAGACAGTGCATCCCAGTGTTGGAACACAGTGATATTTAGCAGGAGGGACATAGCATTATAACATGAAATTAATAAATGATTTATCATCATTATTTTTACTTCTACCACCTCTGGGTCTTGGCAGGAGATGAGGGGAGAGGTTTCCAGGGGCTGGGGGAGGGTGAGGATGCAGACCTCAGGTCTCGAGGAAGAGCTAATTGTGGGGGAAGGTGATATCTGAACAGATGCCCGAGCACGGGATGTGAAAGCGGAAATCAAACAGATAAACTTCTCAGAAGTTGTAAAGTAGGTCAGTGGCCTGGGCTGGGGGCTTCCCACCCCATGCTCTATCTGAAATCAAGTTGGGGTCTAGATCTCCTACTGTACCAGCCTCTACAGCTCCAGGGCTCTCTGTGCCTTCTCCCTCCTTCTCTCCCTCCCCTCCTATTTCCATCTCCCTCCAACCTACCCACCCTCTTACCCACCCTCTCCCTTCTTCCGCTTGCTCCTCCACCTCGGGGCTGGGAGGCCCCTCCCAGGAATGATCTTTGGAGGCTAAACTTAGTGAGAGGTTCCATCCCCAGACGGAAGTTGGTGGCTGCTGGTGGCTTTGTAAATACGCCGTCCCCACACCTTGGTCTCATCAAAGCCACGGAAACAGAAAAATGGTGACAAGAGTAAAGGAAACTCCAGCAGGGGCTGGGGCTGGGCATTTGGGGCTGCCCCACCTCCCACCAGTCCTCAAGGGCAGAGAGGCGTGAAGCTGCGTGCCTTTGGTGGGAGTGGACGGGGAGTCCAGCATCCCTGCCTCTATGTCTGGAACACGGGGGCAACAATAGCTCCTGCCCAGGTATGTATATAATGTTGTGACTCATGCAAGTTGCCTGGCATGGGGAGAGTGCCTGGCAAATGCTGTTCTTAATATTTCTAAATCACCCATGTCACTTGCATACTTATGGAGCTCTTACTGCGCACCAGGCACTGTAACGAATGGCTTTTTCCATGCCTGATCTGATGTAATCTTTACATCAGGGGTGAGGACTGGTGTCACCTCCCATTTTACAGATGAGGAAACAGAGGCACTAAGAAGCAATGGGACTTGCTCGAGGTCCCACAGCTGCAAGTGGCAGAGTGAAATTGGAACGCAGGACCATCTGATTGCAAAGCCTGTTTCCTCCCTCCCTGTTCTGGGCGACGTGACAACGATGTTGACAATAACAACAATAATCCATCCACTTCTGGGGGCTGAACCCTTATCTTCAGGTCCTGGGCACCAACACCTCCCTCCCGCCACACCAGGGTACCTGCTCATTTATACAGACCATCTGATTTGTATGCGTATCATTATCTGCCCCTCCCTCCGCACTCTCCCCATGCTCCCACTTGCTCCAAGCTTCCAGCTGGCTGGGTAGACCACCACTCTGTCCCGGATGTCTGCAATAAGGGTGCCTGGCAGGAGGGAGGCTCTGCTTTCTCAGAAATGGGAGACTCAAGGGGGAGGCAGATCTGGGCATGAGATCTCTGGTCCTCCCCCCAACGCCCCCCTACCTCCGAGTTTCCTACATGGAGTTGGGCCAGCTGGGTTCAGTTTTCTGATCCATAAAGTTGTAAAGTGACATCCATGGGTAATTCCATGTACCCCTCTGCCTCTATGAGCCACCCTTCCCCTGAGAATAGACAGACTCAGGTGCAACATTTACCATTTATTTCCAAGACCCGTGGTCAGGGAGCCCAAGGCTTCAGACAAAGTCTGGTCCTCATCCCAAGATGTATTCGTCTTGACTGGGAGGAGCCTTAGGCTGCGTGTGTGTGTGTGTGTGTGTGTGTGTGTGTGTGTGTGATGGGTGTGACCGTGATGCAGCATGTGGAAGTCCGATGTGATGATCATGGCATCCCATGTGTCACACTTGGTGTGACTATATGGCCCCTGCGGGTGACTGTGGTTGTGATGATGACTTGTGCATGGCTGTGTCACATGTGGTTGTCACACAATGTCTGTGACTGAATGTGACGCTATGACTAGTGTGTAGTTGTGCGAGAATCTGATGCTTTGTGTGTAAGAGTTAGTTGTGAAAGCGACTGTGAAGCTGTGTGATTCTCTGTGATGCTGTAGGTGTGTCTGCATTCTCTCTCCTGCCTCCTCCCGCCTTCCTTCCCGCCCTCCCTTCTTTCTTTCTCTCTGCAAACGTTTTCCAAGGGACTGCCGTGTGCCAGGCCCTGACCTGGGTGCTGAAACACAGCTAGGATGTCCTAGTGGGATGTGAGTGCTCGACAGGGCTGGGATCCAGCCAGCCAGTGGGTGATGCGCTGGTAGCCAAGAAACCAGTCACCACGGGAGTAATTACACCAAGGAAAATGCAAATGCAAACACTACAAAGCCTCTTCCCTCCAGGGAGAGCGGGTTAGCAAACCGTTTCGGGCACATGGCCTATATCGGCTGTGCCTGAGTCTCAGAGTAACCTTACTCAGCCAGCAGGAGGTGGGGCTACGCAGCTGTGGGAGGAACTTGAATGTGTGACTATGGCCGTGGGTGGGCCTGGGCCGGGCAGTCCACAGGGATAAGTCCTGATGATGACTCTCTCCCTGCAACCGCCCACACGCATGAGAGTGGGGGATGGTGAGGCTTCCTGTCTTCAGCCAAGTCCCTGGACCCCCAAGTCCCACTCTTCTCTGAATCAAAAACATAAATACCCACCCCTCACCCCTTCTTCCTGAATATCAGGCAGATCACCTTCCCCCCATTGGGGGCCTCCAGACCCCCCAAGTCTCTGGGTCTTTGTCTTCAGTATCGTCGTGGCAGGGTCTGCAGTGTTTCCTTTGGTGCCTGCAGGGTCCTCAACCTTCAGGGGTGGCTGGGTTCTCGGCCCCTGGAGGTGCCCGCTGAGCTCTTGGCTTGTTGAGTTTTGGGTTCCCCAGAGCACCGTCTGAGGTCACACTGCCTGTCAGACCCCCGTTCAGTCCACGGTCACTCCTTCCTTCACACCATGAAAGCCCCAAAGTAGGAGCGGGTGCCATCGCGGAGTCGGACCAGGCGCTCATCGGGCACACGGACCACCACCTCCTCGCCTTCGTCCAGGTGCACCACGCCCCCCAGGAAGCTGCTGTCCCACCAGACACGGGGGTTGGTTGCTCGCCCACAGGGGGACCGCCGGCTGACCAGCAGCTCCAGCTCCTCGGGGTAGCGGGGCGTGCGCTTGTAGAGGCCGTGCGTGATGGGCAGGCCGCTGCTCAGCCCCTGCGGGCAGCCCACGCCTCCGAGCTGCACCTTGGAGTAGATGTAATAGTAGCCAGCCTGGGCGATCACCAGGGAGCCCTCGCGGTAGCTGAGGCCCCTCAAGAAGGCCAAGCCCAGCTTTGTCTCCCAGAGCAGCGGACCCCCGCTGCCTGTCAGGCTGGAGTTGGCTCCTGGGGATGGAGACAGAAGGGGCCGGTCAGCACGTGTCCCTCTCTGGGTGAGAGAGGGTGACAACCATCCCCCCCCCCCACCGTTTTAGGCCATTGAAGAACTTTATACGTATTAGCTCACTTTATCCTCACTTTACAGGTGGGAAAATAGAGGCACCCAGAGGCCAAGTCACTTGCTTCTTATACATCTTAACTCATTTTGTCTCCCCTCTCCCACAGGTGGGGAAATTTAGGCACGGATCAATTAAGTGACGGGCCAAAAGCATTGAAACTTGTGAGTGGCAGAACCAAGGAACAGAGACAGACGGAACACACCCTGGTCCGGAAGCCTTATAATCTCCATGTTCTTCAGTCTCTCTCTCAGTAAGATGGAGATATGAATCGTGCCTCCTTAGGATGTAATGAATGAGCATGTACAGAGGGTATTCCAGCGCACGTGACCTGGTGAGCACCATGTAAGCGTTTATTCACTAAGTGAGATGGGAAATGCACGGGCATAGGCAGTGCCTGTGCTCTGGGCAATGCTGGGAATAAATAGTGATGGACGCGTGGATGGATGAATGCTCTGACATGTTGGCCGTCTGTCTGGTCTCCCCAGGACACCCTGCCCCCCTCCCCATGCCAGGACCCAGGGTCCCCCTCACCTGTAAGGTGTGCGGCTGGGTTGGCCTGGTGGGACCTCCGCTCTGGAGAGAGAGGGTGAGAGGTTAGCGGTGAAGGCAGGGGGGGTGAGGGCCGGCCCACTGAGGGGTCATCTAGTCTACCTCCTGGTGTCAACCCCACCCTTTCCGGAGTGGCCCAGACTTCTGCTTCTCAGGCCTGGGGGAGGGGCACCTGCCGGGCTCAGACCAGTTGTGTAAATACACTGGGCAATGGGCAGAGGGGGCGGGGGCAGTGTGGGAACCATCCCGCCCACCCTCCCTGGGGCCCGGTACCCTGACTCACCTTGCGTCAGCTGCTTCCAGGATTCTGCATCTCCGTCCTGAAAAGGCAGAGGAACCCAGGTGAGGACCTGTGGGGCCCACGCACTGGCATCCTCAGACTCACGGCTGTGAGACACACGCAGACCATGGGCACAGACACCACCCAGGGCCAAGTGCACACCCCTGCCCCACCCAGCAGCCTCAGTTTTCCCCTCTGTAAATAGACATAGGGATGGTGGTTTTTTAGGATTCAGCGACTTCACGGGTGTACAGCGTGTGCCAGTGCCTGGGCACATGGTAAGCACTATGTAAGCGTTTATCAAATAAGTCATATTACAGATACATTGATCTGGATGGCAGGACACGTGGACATCAATGCCAACAAGTGGATATGGACACGGGATGTCGAGCACAGACCTGGACCCTTGTGTGACACACTGACAAGGCACATGTGGACACGTGAGCTCAGATACACAGGCACATGGTTTATGGGTCCACGTGGGTCTGTGCGCAATGCCAGTGCGTGGGCCACAGACAGGCCAGCACATGGCCACGCGGGCACATGGACACGGATGCGCGACGGCAGCATGGGTTCACGTGAAGGACGTGTGCACGAGGCCATCAGATCCAGTCCCAAGGAGAAGTGACCCGGAGACACAGGACACAAAAGGCCAAGACCACGTGGCCGTGGTGTCAGACACAGAGATACAGACAGATACATCCACAGCCAACAGCGAACTGATGTGGAGAGAGATTCTCAGACTCGGATCGAGTGGATAGATTAGTGACAGTCCCCACAGTGGGGATCCAGGCATGGCTAATAATGATCAGCAATGTCGGAATGTCAGTGCTGGGGGTTCCAGACAACAAGACTCTATTATGAACATAACACTTGCTATAAGAGACTAATATTATGTGGGGCCACCACTAGAAGAAATGGTCCTTATAGCACATCACAGAGGTGTTTCGCTAGAGCCGCAAGCGATCATATTGCAAAATAAATGTGTCCGATCAGCATGCCGTACACCTTAACTGACAGAATGTCACAGGCCCTTTATATCTGGATTTTAAAAAATATCGGTTTTGATTCATTGAACACCTGCCCTGGGCAACCACCCCCAGGCACACGCACACAGTATCGTATTTCATTCCCTGGGAGCTGGGCACTCTTATTACCACGCCCATTTTACAGATGAGGAAACTGAGTTTCAGGGAGGAGAACTGACTTGCCCCGGGCTGCTCTTGGTCCGTCTCCTGTCCTGCACACACACGCACAGAGAGATGCCCAGTGACACAGGAGGCCCACCTGCCACGAGCCCCGAGGCCCCACTCACCAGCAGGGGGGTGACCATGGCCCGTAGGCGCAAGTGCAGCTGAAGCAGGAACCAGCCCTGGACGGCCAGCCCAGCCGCCAGCAGCAGCAGGAGGAGGCCCAGGCCCAGCTGGGCCGCACTGCAGGGCCGTCTCCGGCGCCTGCGCCCCAGCCTCGTGAATGGGATGTCTGTCTGTCCGTCCACCGTGAACACCGAAGGTCGCACAACTGTCTCCTCCATGCCTGAGCAGATGAGGTCCCGAGACACCCCGGGGGCTGGGCTAGCACGGCTGGGTCCTTGAGGGCAGGGAGGAAACCACAATTGCCCAATGCTCCTGGGCTTTGCACGCTGCAGACAGGCACCCGTGGGTCCCGGGGCTGCCTTTAGAGCAGGGGTTCAGCCCCTCCCCTTTCCCCACTGGCCCTCCTCTTCTTCCTGTCCCCCACCCCCAGGCTGGCCCCGGCTCACTCTCACTCATGCAGCCTCTCACACTTTCCAGGGGCGTCTGAAGATATGACTCAGGTAAGGATCGAGCGGGGAGGCCCCAGCTTTTCCCTGTGGCCGCTTCGTTGACTCTGTTACCAAATATTTGTAGATCTTCTCCTGCATGCCAGACACTGTTCTAGGTTTGAGGGCACAGCTGTGAACAAGAGAGACAAAAGTCCTTGGTCTTACGGAGCTCCTACTCCAGTGGGGTGAGAGACAAAGAGCCTGGTAAATAAGAAAATACTGTACAGTGTGTTAGATGGTAGTAAGAGCAGTGGGAAATACGAGAGTGGGGTGTGTGTGTGTGTGCAGGTGTGTACATGCAGGTGCATGCGTGGTGTGTGTGAGTGTGTGTGCATGTGTGCATGCATGCATGCAAGTTTTAATGGTAACTCAGAGTCAGGTGCTAGAATCATTGGTCACGAGGTTAACTAAGACTGAGGCCTGGGGGTCATCCTGAGGGTACCCTGAATTGGCCTAAATAGCCCTTTCTTTTCTTGTCCCTCACATCCCACGCATCAGCAAGCCCTGGTGATTCAGTCTCCAAGCCAGATCTCAACCCAGCCACCTGTGGACGTACCCACCGCCACCACCTTCACCAAGTGCCCTCACCAGAACCTGACCAAGTTGGCCCCTTCCCCTCAGAGCCCCAGCCTCCAGAACTGTGAGAAATACATGTCTGTTGTTTAAGGCTCCCCCCGCCCACCCTGTGTAGGTTGTCTTGTTACAGCGGCTCGACCAGCCATTTCTGGCTCAGACTCATAGTGGTTTCCAGTACGATGGTCTCTTCCCCTCTTGCCACCTCATAATTCCTTCTCTGCCCTCTACCTAGTGTGAGCTTGCGTATTTTATTTTATTTTGTTTTGTTTTGTTTTATTTTGTTTTGTTTTGTGGAGGCGAAATTCATGTAACATAAAACTAACCATTTTAAGGTGAGCAACTCAGTGGCATTTAGGATATTTACACTATCTATCTAGTTCCCAGATGTCTCCAGTGCCTCGAAAGGTATGCCCCTTCCCATAAAGCATCCACTCCTCATCCCCCAGGCTTCCCAGCCCCTGGCAACCACTCATCAGCTTTCCTGCTCCATGGAGTCACCTGTTTGAGACGTGCCAGATATTTCATTAAAGTGGAAACATGCAATATGTGGTCTTTTGTGTCTGGCTTCTTTCACTGGATGTAATGCTTTCAAGTTTCATCCACGCTGTAGTGTGTGCCCACACTCCCTTCCATGTTAGGGCTGAGGGATGTTCCAGTGTACGGATGCATCACATTGTGCTTGTCCATTCATGCATGGAGGGATGTTCCAGTTTCCACCCTTTGGCTACCGTGCAGAGCGCTGCGATGAGCATGGGTGCACATGTATTTGTCTGGGTACCAGTTCCAAGTCTTTGGGTATCTAGCTAGGATTGGAACTGCGGTCATTGGCTTTTTAAACACATATGCCAAACTTCATCTCTCCCCTGCTTAAAATCTTGCAATGGCTTCCCATCGAGCATACAGGGGGTTAACTAATTATGCCCTGTGGGCCAAATCCAGCCATCCCTTCTGTCTGCACAGCAACAACTCTCCAGAGAAAGCACTTCAGCAAGCTGCAGATGCCCACCAGGGGTGTCCTCCTCTGCCTGATGCCCACTCTGCTCCCCGTGTCCACCTCCCTGACCAACAGCCAGCACCTCACCACCTTCCATGGCCCGTGCTGTCAAGGAGAGAATCCCAAGCAGACTCTGTGCTGAGCGTGGAGCCCGATGTGGGGCTTGGTCTCATGACCCTGACATCATGACCCGAGCTGAAATCAAGAGTTGGATGCTTAACCGACTGAGCCACCCAGGCACCCCTCTCTATCTATTCTTTTTTCTTTCTTTCTATCATCTATCTATCTATCTATCTATCTATCATCTATCATCTATCTATCATTATCATCTTTGTGTCTACACACACACAATTTATTTTAAGGAATTGGCTCTTGTTTTTCGTTTTGTTCTGTTTTGTTTTTAAGTAGGCTCCACACCCAACGTGGGGCTGGAACTCATGGCTCTGAGATCAACAGTCGCATGGTCTACTGACTGAGCCAGCTGGGCACCCCAGGAATTGACTCATGTGACTGTGGGGTTTAGCAAGTCAAAAATCCACAGAACAAGCCAGCAGGCTGAAGATTCAGTTAAGAGTTGATGCCACAGTCTTGAGTCTAAAGGCTAGAAACTCAGGCAGAATTTCTATGCTGCTATCTTGAATTCCTTCTTCCTCAGGAAACCTCATTTTTTCTCTGCCGCCCTTCAACTGATTGGATAAGGCCCACCCACGTTATCAGGCGTAGCCTGGAAGTCAATTGATTGTAGGTGTGAATCACATCTTAAAAATACCTACCTAACAACATTTACACTGGTGTTTGACTAAACCATGCCCTAGCTAGGTTGACCCAGAAAATGGTTATTATTGGATCTAAATGACTATACTGGGGGCCCCACAGTAGGCAACGTTGCTCACATTGCCCTGTTCTCCTTTCCTCTTCGGATATCCTCACTGTCTGAAATCAACTCCATGCTGTCCTTAGAATGTCAGTTTCAAAGACCCTGTCTGTGCTGCTCATGGTTGGGAACCACAGGTGCTCCATCAAAACAACACCCCAGGTGCTAAAGAAAGGAAGAAAAGGAATCCCAGGGCAGAAGAAAGGGGAAATCAGCAAGAAAAGAAGTAAGAAGAAAGACATCAAGGTGTGTGGGCAGGTCGGCTGGGACACCTCGTGAGTGATGAGGATTTTTTGAGTCTCCCCCAGACAGAGGTCCCTGCCAATCAGGAGCTGGAGGGGGAGTTTGCTGGCTGTGAGTCTATTTCCCCCGTATTCCTGGAATCAGGAGGTGGGGTTTACAGGACCTGGGGGTCTTAAGGGAAAGGGGCTGAGAAGGGGCGACTGTGAAGCTCAGGGCTTTTCCGGTGATCACCACATCAAGAGCCGGGAATGGATCCCACCCTCAAGAGTCCTAGCGGCGCAATTAATCAGAGGAGGCGTCTAGGACCCCAGTTCCCCTCGGCGGCCAGGGAACCCATTTGCCTGTGGCTACTGCCCTCCACGCAGCTCTGGGGATGCTGTGACCACGATGCCCCCGCACCTCCCCCCTTGACCGCTGACTCAGACCTTCCCTTTCGTTCGTTCGCTTGCTCACTCACCCGGAGCTCCCGCGGAAACGGCGCCTGGCCTGCCCCCTACCGCCCCCTCCTGGGCACCGCCGCCGCAAGCGGGATGCAGGCGAGGTAGCAAACGGAGTTGTGCGTGAGTGAGCCGCCGGTGAGGGGCAAAAACGGATGAAGGTGAGAACAGGTGAGGATGCAGGTGGAAAGAAAGATAGGGGAGCGTATGGGTAAGAGAGTTGGTAAAGATACAGGCAAGCCTGCGGTTGGAGATGTAGGCGTGGGCCAGGCGAGAATGCCCAAAATGCAGGTGCATACAATCCAGGGCGTAGGTGGGACAGCAGGTAAAGATTCCCATGACAGTATTGGTAAGAATGCAGGTGAGGATGCAGTCAGGGGGCAGGTAAGCAAGGGGTGAAAGGGCAGTGAGTTGCTGGTGAGAACCCACAGAAGGTTGAGGCTGAGAAGCAGGGGAGATGCAGGTGCAGGTGAGGCGGGCGCTGCAGGTGGACTGCAGGAGGGAAGCAAGCGGGAACCAGGTGTGGCTTCAGGATGGAGCCGAGTTGCTGGTGAGGCGCGGGGGCGGGGGGGGCAGGGGGGATCCCAGCTTCCTCTTTCCCTCTCAAAGACCTTCCCACATGGGGAGACACATGGCATACAACTGCGGCTTTATTGTGGGGACCGCGGGGAGGGGTCAGTTGGGACAGCCAAAGACGATCATGTTCTCAGCGAAGCTGGCCAAGTGTTGGCACTGTTTCTCATTCCCCTCATCCTGGCATTCTTCGGCCTGAGGCCAGAGCTCCACCCATGTGTCCTTCCCGATGATGTAGCTGATGCTGGGGGGGAGGACGGGGGGAGTCAGGAAAGTCAGGGGCAGGGCCGGGGAAGGGCAGGCAGGGGTGACCCTGGGCAGGCACCGGGCTGGCACTCACTTGGGTTTCTCTCCCCACAGGTCAGAGGAGATGCCCCACATTAGGTAGTGTTTCCCCTCCTGCAGCTTCAGGGCTTCTCTGCACTTGATGTGGCTGATGAACCTGCGCTCCTGGGCAACCCGCACCTCATCGGAGCCTGGAGGGGAGGCCAAGCGGAGCTGAGCCGGAAGGCGGTGGGAGGGAACCCGGAAGAAGGGGGCAGGAAGGCAGAAGACAAAGTGCAGGGCTGACCTGATTTGATGATCTGCTCGATGACCATGATGTATTCGTCAAAGTCGTCTGAGGGCTCCTTCCTGAGGAGCCTGGTCTTGTACACTGCGGGGGGGGGGAGGGCCATGGGGGTCACCCTCCCCTGCAAGTGCACCTGGGCACATGGCACCGCTCCTCCCACCCCTGCCCAAGCAGACACACGCAGGATCACAGCCAGGCCTGCGACAGTCCCTGCCCCCCAGCAACCCTCCCGCCACACACGATCCTACACACAGCCACCCGCAACTACAGTCAGAGGCACGACCACGCCTATTCCCGTCCACAGTCACCCACAACCACTGTCTCATATCTCCCTGGCTCAGCACAACTACAACCTCGCAGTCACACACACCACCCGGCATACGACCACATCCACTTGGATCCTTGCACACACCCAGCCCGTTCATTACCATGGTTCCCATGCAATCATGGCCCCCCACAGCACATTTACACACACACACATTGCCCGCACCTGCAGCCACACATGCACCACAGCTACACACACACACGGTTGCTCACACACGCTCCCCTGTGCGTGAACCCACTTACCGTAGTCTACGCCGGGCTCACAGGCCTTGTCCAGCCGGTACTCCTGGGTGACCTTGTCCACCT